TCTTAAGAGTGCCTGCCATATTTCCCTTCCACATCCAACCTCAAGTGGAACTCACCTGTGCTTACTGCTCAGGGCAGCACATGCGATGCCCAGTCCACTCTCCCACCTGTCGGTCAGCTCCAGAAGGTCTAGCCACTCCACGTAACTCAGTCAACAACCAGTGATGGGGCCCCTGCTCTGTTGTCCCAAGCACTGTGGTAGCGCTGACTTAGGACGATACAGAAAACAGAGTGCTTGCACTCGAGCCCTACCACCCACTGCAGGAGGTTGACAATAGACGTGTTGACTAACAGATGTAACACACACACCATGCCGGGGCCTTCTCTGTTCAACTCACTTGTGACCCTAATGGGGGACAATTCTAAGACAGGCTGGGGGACAGAGGGATAAGGATATGACAGGAGTGTGGGAGAGCAGACTTGGGCTGCCTCTGGAGTCACCCCACACAGAGGGCTGCCTCTCTGGACACATTAGCATCATAGTAGGGCCCCAGACCAACCTCCCTTTACCCCTGAAACCTGGTTGAGAGCATGTGATCAAGACCCTCGCTGTCCCTCTCAAGACCCTCAAGACCCTCCCAGAGCTCCCGCATCTTGAGGAGGGTCAGGTGCATGGAGGGGGTCTGTGCCTGGCAATTACAGCCTTTTCTCCACCCCAGGAACCTGTCTGCAGGCCTCTTGAAGAGCCCAGACTCGGCCCTTGTCACCCCTTCAGGCAGGGGGCCTGAGCTGGTTTACACCACCGTTCGGCATCCTGGCTTAGTCACCCATGGTGGGAGGGCTGTCCCGATGAGAAGACAGGCAAATCACAAATGTCAACCGGCTGAGACCCAGGTGCCAGGTTCTCGCCAGGGGCACTGCTTTACACCAGCCAGCACAGCCTGGAGCCCGTCACGACAGAGCTGACAGCCCATTAGCAGCAGAGCGGTCCGTGGGGCTTGGAGGAGAGGAGCTGTCATCCACCTCACTTCAAGGACTTTCGAGGGTGAAATGAACTGTGTGTGTGTGCGTGTGGGTGTGCGTGTGCACACGTGTGTGTATAATTTTTTTTTTAAATTTTTTGTTTATTGCAGTAACATTGGTTTATAACACTGCAAAAATTTCAGGTGTACATCATTGTACTTCTTTTTCTGCATGGATTACATCATGTTCACCACCAAAATACTAATTACAACCCATCACCACACACATGTACCGAATTATCCCTTTCACCCTCCTCCCTCCCCCCTTCCCCTCTGGTAACCACCAATCCAATCTCTGTCCCTATGTGTTTGTTTATTGTTGTTATGTGTGTGTATAATCTTAAAAAAAAAAAAGGAATATCAATCACAGCCCTGGCTGTTAAAATGGGCAGACAACAACCTGACATCGCGGAGAGGAAATGTCATCATGTTTCTTGTACTCTGTCCTCCCAACCCCCGGGGTCATGTCTGAGAGACAATCCCATAATAACAGAACAACCATATCACAGGATCGGAAGACCTTAAGGTCTTCTCATACACCCCCTCTCTGATGTCCAACTCTTCGCTTCAAAGTGCATAATAAGGAATCATCCTCTTGCTTGAATGCTTCTAGTCACAGGGAACTCACTGCCGACCGGGACATTTCAAACATCTCACTTGCCCATTCCCCTAATGGCTAGAAAGTTCTTCCTGACCTAAGAGCTTAAACTTGGGGCCACATAACTTCCACCCCTTGGTCCTAGTTTTGCCTTCGAAGTCACAAGCAAAAAACAAAAAGGCCCAATCCCTTTTCCCCAAGACAGCCCTCTTGTGAGCCCCCTCCACGCTGACATGGTTCTGAGTGCCCGTCACATCGGCCTACTGCCTTCTGGACAGGATCCACTTTGTTAATAACATCTTCAAAATGTGCTTCCCACACTGAGACATAAAATCTCTGCTGCAGCTGTTACCAATGTGAAAACACACCTATGTGCACACCCCTGCACACACATGCACATAGAATAACGTTCCTCTAACTGTATTTTCATCCATTCCCCACTTCATATCACATCGTCAAATAACCTTGCTGAAATCCAGATGTCTTATATCCACGACGTGCTCTTAATCTATCACCATACTTGCTCTATCGAGAAAAAAGAAACTAAGGAAATGATAGGTGCCCAGAAATGGACCCAGCCCCCCCATCTGTGATCTGACAACACGGGATGGGCAGGACCTGCACCTTCCTTCTCTGGACACTAAACTCCTATTGATTCCACCTCTGATCACATTAATCTTCATGGAAGTCAGAGCTCATGACTGACTCAAACTGAGCTCCGGGCCAGGTCATGCACGGGCTCAGATGTCTGTTTTAATGCAGAAGTAACAGAAGAGTTAGTAAGATAATATAGGATGTATCTCACTGCCCCACTCCAGAAGAGGCCAGCTCTGAGCTTCTGAAGGCCCCTGGGGTGGGATTTTGTGCGAAGGTCCTGCAAGGGGTGGGGAAGGAGGGAGATGCTTTGAGTAGGGCAGGTGGACGAGGTAGATCATGGAGGGAATGGGTGCCTTCCCCAGACAGGGCAGAAATGGGGATGAAGTGGCGGGGACAAGTGCCCTGCAGCCCCATAGTACTCGTCAGCAAGGAGGGCTGCTGTGGGGGCATCTCAAACCCTTCCAGAGCAGAGTGTCCACAAAACAAGGGTAGATTCTAGGCCAAACCCCAGCATGAAGTGGCAGAGAAGTGACCTTACAGATGTTGAGCAAACAGAGCAAGGGCCCAGCCAACATCCCTGCTTCTGCCCCACAGAGGCCCAGAGTCCTGGTGATCCTACAGGGATGGGAGCAGGCTCGAGAGGTGACTGAGGTTGAACTTCCAGCCACCCCACTGAGGAGCAGAATACATCTGACTCACAGAAATAAGGGCATGTTGTACCCCCGAGTCATCGATAAAATTCATACCCACCACATCTACTGCCGTCACCCCCCACATCTTCCCCTTCTGATGTTATATAGTTGATTTCTGCGACCCAAGTATATAGCTTTATATTTACTCACACTAAATTTTTCCTTTGACATATCAAAGCAACCTCTTGATTTGTCAGTCATTTTGTAAGCTCTTCCTCCAAGGTGCACAAAACCTTGTTAACTCCAGTCATTAACAGCAGGTGTTGAGCCCGGCCGGGCAGAGGGCAGAGGGCAGGCTCACATGTGCCACTGAAGGCTTCCTTCCCCATGGACACTGATTCACTGAGCAATCAGCTCTCCCGCAGCTGGTTCCATTCCCCAGAAATTCATCTGACTAGACCGTTACCCATCCCACATCTCTCTGCTTTGTTCATAAGGATCTATTGTCAAGTGCCTAGCTGAAACCCAAATGTACTCTGTCTACTACACGTTCTCAATCTATCAGCACAACGACCCTATCAAGAAAAAAGAAAAATGAAAGTAGGAAAAGACAGAAGGAAATGAGGGGGCCGGCCCTGTGGCTTAGCGGTTAAGTGCACGCGCTCTGATGCTGGCGGCCCGGGGTTCAGATCCCGGGAGCGACCCGAGGCACCACTTCTCCGTTCAATGCGAGGCCGAGTCCCGCGTACAGCAACTAGAAGGATGTGAACCTATGACGTACAACTATCTACTGGGGCTTTGGGGGGAAAAAACTGAATAAATAAAATCTTTAAAAAAAAAAAAAAAAAGAAGGAAATGAGGTGTATCTGGCCTGACTGGCTCTGAGTGGTCACTGCTGTCTTCTCCAAGGGCTCATCAAATCTGGTCACACTCTATCCACATTCATCACCAAAGATCAGGTACCCCACCCCCTGCCCCCACTAAATGTCCCAACATCCCTGTGCTGGTCTCCTGAGATTTATGAATCAGAGTTCACAATCAGACAATAAGACAAGTAGTAGGAGGAAAGCAAAGAAACACTGGAAGCCAGACCACTGATAAACATTTCCCTTTTTTTATTAACAGGTCTAAAGAAAACCTTCATTGAGTCGGGACATAATAGAAATTATGGTGACCTGCATATAAAACCTGGCACCGAATTGGGCCTTCTAGAAATATTTATATACAAAAATATGCATTAAAATCTGCACCAGAACATAGTGCAGAGGTTAACTGAGACCCCGACGGGAGTGCTTACAAAGGTGGTCTGGTCTGAGGACGCAGGGAGCTCTTGGTCCTACAGCCTCAGGGGAGAGCCCTGTGTGAGAAGAGCCTGTGTTAAAGAGGAGACCGAAGAGCATGTCTTTGAAGGCAGGACCCCGGTGAGCACCGAAATGCCACAAGCCTGGCATCAAACAAAAACGGTGCTGGGAAGAAAGGCAGGAGAGAAAGGCCATCCTTCTTTTCCTCGTTACTGGGCTCTGACCACTATTCGAGGATTCTGGATCTCTGCAGACATACCACCTAGAGGAACTTTTGCAATTTCCAAATATGCTTTTTCCAAGTAAGCTGCCCAATTCCAACTCAAGGAGCCAAATCATTATTAGCCTGATTTTAAGGATTAAGAACTACTTCTTATGTCATTTTCTGTAGGCCAAGGCTGCAACACCTGTCAGAACCTCTATGACCACAACAGAAAAGTGTAACAATCACGGCCTCAATCCATTTGTCTTGGACCAAACGCAACTGAGCTGGTCTAGCCCAGAAACTACACTTCACAGGCGACGAAGTGAAGTCAAAAGCAGCTTCGAGCAGCACGGGCATCCCCCCCTCTGAGTGCAAACTGTCTGTGCACACGGCAACTGAAGCCCTCAGGAGAGGCAGGGTCATTACTGCACATCTGTCTTCAAGGAGGAAGACAGTTCCTTCACTGGCAGGGCCTGGCATTCCAGGCGCACAGGGTCAGGACCGTTGTCTACGGGCTTTTTCACTCATGGAGGAGCTGATGTCCCTGGTCTGCTCATCTGTGGCTCTGCGGGAAGTGGTAACTGTCCCTGACTCAGTGCTAAGCTGCTGCCCAAACAGTCAGGCTCCATGGTTGGGAGACACACCAATGAGAACCCGAAAGAAACGGAGGGTGGGCACAGGGGAGCATCAGGAGAGGCAACGGGGGCAGGGGAAAAAGCTACCCGTGGGCTTTAAGTAGCCCGCAAGGACAGCAGTGCCTCTACAACCTCAGGGCTCCTAATAGTTACTGAAAGGGCTGGGAGTCCTCCCTGTCATTCCAGTGGATTCTACAAAGGGAAAACAGCCATCCTACCAATTTCTATCCAAAAGCAGAGTGATTTCTCAGCAGCCTTGAGGGTGGGGTTTTTTTCCTTCCCAGTCCGGGGCTTGACGGTCTTGCTGCAGGGTGATCTGACACTTTTCTTCGACTGTGGCAGTAAGTGAAAGGAGAGATGAAGGGCAAAAGCATCAGAATCACAATTTAGGCAAAAAGCCGGGAGCCACACTAGGCTGTTAATGAGAGACTTTCTCAAGCAGTGTATTTCAGGACCCAAATGCTCAGAGGAAGAGACAGGTGCTCCCTGTGTCACTGAGGCCAGGCACCAATTAATACTACATCCTGCAAGACCAAGATAACGCGGACACTTCGCCCAGTCACTAAGGCCCTTTCAGGACAGGGGGCCAACTCGGCCACTCCTTCACAAAGTCTTAGCGCATTTTAGTCCACTTTCAAATGACCTGACAACACCCTCTAGTGGAAATTATAAATAAAACAAGAGTCACGCATCCAATTCACCTCCTTCTGATACCAGAGTGGTGTCAAGATTCTCCATAAAATGGAAGAAAACAAAAACAAAAACAAAAACAAAACACTATCTTCAAGAACGCAAATAATAAAAAAAGGTGACAGTTCACCAGCCATCCTTAAGTCCCTCTCTGCCAAATCACCCTCCCTCCTCAGAAACTCTGCCTTCAACACCTTCTAAGACAGGGGGACACGTTGTTGGGGGAGCTACTGGTCCCCTCAGAGTTTGGGCAGACTGCCGGCTGGTGCCAGAATGATGCCAAAGACGTAGAAGAGTCCCAGCAGGAGGTTGAGTTTGGCAGTCCTCTGGGGCAGTTTGTTGAAAGTCTGGCTTCGGAACTGTCTCTCTAGGGAGAAGGCCATGGGAATGGTGAGCAGGGGGAGCGCCAGGCTGATGCTGCAGTGCGTGGCCAGGATGCTGAAGAGCAGGTAGGGCAGGAAGAGCAGCGTGTTGTAGAGCATGTAGGAGAAGGTGGGGCCGATGAGGATGGCGAGTGTGACGATGCCAGCCTCTCGGTCAGACTCCATGTCCCTGGTGTTGTTGGAATGGAGAATGGCCTCGGTGCTAAGGGCGAGGGGGATGGCGTAGATGAGTGGGAAGACTGCCAGAGACCCCACCTGGACGGCATAGGCGAACATCACAGCCAGTGGGCCAAAAGTGATGAGGATGACGAGGTCTCCCAGAGCCACGTACTTGAATCCAATTCCTGCAGCCAGAAAACCCAGAGAGTTGGTGTGAGATCAAGGGCTGGAAATTGAGGGGCTGTTCACCATTCAAAAGGCAGGCCACTCTTGGCCAGGAACGGTGAATTCTTAGACTGTGAGGGTGGGCAGTCATTGAGTTCCTGTCCCCTCCAGAGCAAACCCTGATTTCTTCTTCAATGACACAGAGGTACAGACAATACTGATCTTTCAGCACCAGGCAGGTTTCAGAGTCAAACCCAAGTTTTCCTTGCTACTGTCCCCCAACTAAGCCCTGCAACATAGAGCCAGGGCCTCCCACTACACACACAGCTCAACAAGGATCTCACAGGTCTTACAACCCAGTTCACCCTTCGCCAAGACTGTAAGACATTGCTTCTGTCTATAACACCATCAGATCAGTCCCTCACGGAACATCCCTCCCGGTCTCTCACTTCTCCACCTCCTCCCTCAACAACCTCCAGAGCCACCTCCTGGTTTTGAAAACCCCAGTGAATCTCAGTGAAATTCCAGGACCCCACACTCAACATAAAGGAGCTTTCACCCACATAAGGAATGAAACAGCTAAGACAGTGAGGGTATAATGCTGCTTCCCCTCCCCGGTTCCCATGAAGTCAACACTCTAAATCATCCATAATTTTTCCTCCTGTCCTGCTAATCTACTCCAAACCCTGTCTAATCCACGTTCAAACCTGCCCAGTTTCTCCATCTCCATGCCACATTCTATCCCATATCCAAGCCACGGTCATCCATACCTGGAATACTGCGACACCCTCCTAATCTGTCCCTTGGCTTCCATTCTTATAACAACCTCCCCCTCCCCATCCCTAATCTAATCTCCACACTGCTGCCAGAGCCAGCCTTCAAAAACACTGATCTGACCACGCCCCTCCCCCAGCATACACCTGAAAACCCTCATTAACAAGTTCTCCCCAGGACAAAGGCCCCAGATCTCTCACCTGGCTTACCTCCAGGCCTGCCCTACCTCTCTCCTGCCTCACCTGGAGCTCTCCTCCCTTCTCCCCTTAGACCTCTTTCAGCTCCTCAGAGCCTTCAGACACCTTTGCCGGGCTAACTCCTATTCATCCTTTCAAACTTGAAATACCACTCCTCAAGGCAGCCTTCCCTCACCCCCAAGACCACATTTGGTTCCCCTGGCAAGATGCTCCCACAGCGCTCTGACTTCCACTTTCATAAACTTCATCACATCTCTAATTACCTAATCTCCGTCTTTTCCTGTAAACTGTAAGTTCCACGAGGGCAGGGCCTGGGTCTGGCTGTTCACAGCTTGCTCCCCAACACCTGGCACACAGGCTGCACTGAACACAGAGCTACAGTAACAAGCACCTGGAATTCGGGACCAAGGTCAGGGAAAGCGTCCCACTCAGACTGCAACAGGTAAAGCAGCATGGAATGGGGAGAGGTGCCCACTCAAGGAGTGATCCCCACACACAGTGCCACAGAAGCCTGGGAAACCTCCAGATCTAACCAAGCTAACAAGGTGTGGCCTCAGGATCAGAAAATAAAGAAAACTACTGGGTAATCCACTGCATTTTAACCAGCCTAAAATGATAAGGGGCACTGAGCTGTAGAGGATCTAAAGGCATGGCAGCCAAAGAGCAAGATTCAGCCCAAGTTTACCTCCACACTAGCATTTGGGGTTCCTTGGTGTTAACGACCACCCTTGGTTCTTTAGAATGAAGCGTCCCCAGGAAAGCGTATAACAGGCATGGCCCCTGATACCCAACCTCACACAGCAAACTAATTCTGTACTCCCCACGCAGCACTTTGACAAATAATTTGGTTTTCTGAGGACATGCCCTCCAGGAGGAAGTTCTCTCAAGAAGAACATGAGCTCCAGTTTTAAATTAGGAAATCGATGTCTCTTGCAACGTCTCACACATGTAGGGGACTGCCCCTGCCCAAGGAAGATGCCAGGCAGCAATACTCCCAGCACAGATCTAGCAAGTTTCTCCACCAGCTGCTGCTCCTCTTTTGCTTGTTTTCTCAGCTCTCCAAACAGACTTCAGGGCTCTGGCCATGGAAGAAAACACAACAGCTCTACAGACTTGACCTTTGGCTAGATCACCCAAGAACATCTGCTTAGATCAGCCGGCCAAAAAATAACGTAAGGATAAGCCCCACCTTAAACAGGCCCTGCACAAAAACCAACCACAAACCCACTCTAGGGAAGAGAAAGGTCTGGCAACCTTCTTGAGGTTATCTGACGTGAGAAAATGATAGAGCCCTTGGGGAGAAAGCCCTGTTTCCTGAGTGTCAGACATACGGCCCAAGGCTCATGGGCACCACCTGGTTCAGAGAGGCCCCCCTGGGAGTTTCCCTTTAGGCATTCCCACCCTTCCCAACACCATTTTCCAAATGAGCCAGCACAGTGAAACACTGGACCATTCTCCACACAGCAGCCAGAATGAATTTGTTAAAACATAAATAAAAAAGTTGGCAAGGATGTGGAGTAACTGGAACTCACAAAGATTGCTGGTGGGAGTGTAATGGCAGTACAACCACTTTAGAAAACACTTTGGCAGCTTCTCATAAAGTGAAACATCATCTACCCTATGACCCAACAATTCTATTCCTAGGCATTTACCCAAGAAAAATGAAAAAAAATATCCACAAAAAGACTTGAACATGAATGTTCAGTCATAAGTCAAAATATGGCAACAACCCAAATGTCGCTGAATGGGAGAATGGATAAACAAACCGCGGTGTGTCCATACGATGGATACTACTCAGCAATATGAAGGAACTACTGATGCACATCACAACACGATGTATCTCAAGACCATCGTGCTGGGCTAATGAAGCCAGCCACGAGAATTCACACTGAATGATTCTATTTATATGATGCTCTAGCCAGGCAAAACTAATCTATGTGAAAGAAATCAGAACAGTGGTTGCCTCTGGATAGGGGTGGGGAGAGTGGGAATTGACGAGGAAGAAGCACAAGGAAGCTTTTAGGGGTGATGGAAATGTTCTGTATCATGATAAGGGTGTGGGTTAGACAGCTGTACCCATTTGTCAAAATTCATGAAACAATAACACTTAAGATCCGTGCACTTCAGTTTGTCAATTATATATCAATCAAAACCAATGTTTAAAAAAACATAACTCAGATTATGTCATTACTCTGCTCAATACATTTCCATGTCTCCACATTTGTTCATTCAATGAATATTAAGTACTGACTACATGCCAGGCACTGTTCTGGGCACCACGCGTTCAGTAGAGAACAAAACAACTAACAGCCCTAACCCCAGGGAGCTTACAGTCTAAGGGGGAAGACAATTAAGAAGTCAGTCCTTTACACGGTATGTTAGAAGGCAGTATGTGCTGTGAAGAAAAATAGAGCAGAGGAAAGCAATAGGGAAGGTATCATGGGGAGCACATAGGGGCGTGTGTGTGATTTTTTATTTCATTTTTTTTTCAACTGCTGCAAAAAGCTTTAATGTGTAGTCATTTTAAACAGGGTAGAAAGCAGGGCCTCACTAAACAGGTGACATTTGAGCAAATGGGTGGAGGAGGCTAGAAAGCAAATCGTACAAATAGAAGGGGGAGGAGTGTTCCAAATCCAGGAAACAGCATCTACAAATGACGTGGGGCAGGCGTGTTCCAGAAACAGCCAGGAGGGCAGTGTGGCTGGAGCACGGTGAGAAAGAGGAAAGGAGGGGCAGCTCAGAGAGTTGTGGGGAGGGGAGAGGAGCAGCAGCTAATGGAAAGCCTGGGGGTCATTGTAAAGACCCCGGCCTTTACTCTGAACGAGATGGGAGCCCTCGGAGAGTTCTGAGCAGAGGACTGACGGAGCTGCAGGATTACTCTGCCTGCTAGTTTGGGAGCAGCCTGAAGGGGACAAGGGGGTGTGCAGAGAGCAGTGAAGAACCTGCCACAATAATCGAGGGAGACGACAGTGGTGGTGGTGCTGGGAGGTAGTGAGAAGTGGTCAGGTCCCAAATGCGTTTTAGAAGTGGAGTCAACAATACTGCTGATGGACTAGATGTGAGACGTGAGAAAGAAGCATCAAGGATGATACCCATGATTTTTAGCCCAAAGAACTAGAAGGATGAAGCTGCCATCAAGTGAGATGGGGAAAGCTGTGGGTAGAGCAGGTTTCCTTGGGGAGATCAGGAATTTGGTTTCAGACATGCTAAGCTTGAGACGCCTGTGAGACCTCTAAGAGAAGTTACTGAGGAAGAAGTTGGATGAGTTTGGAGTTTAGTGGAGAGATCTGGTCTGGAAGTGTAAACTTGAGAGTCATCAGCTTCATAGATGGCATCTGAAGCCATGAGACTGGCTAAAATCTCCAAGGGGGTAAAAGGAGCTAGAGAAAAGAGGTCCAAGGACTGAGCCTGGAGGTTGGGAGTGAGGAGGAACCAGCAGAGGAGACTGAGGCCCTGGAAGACCAGCATGGTCTAGCCCCTGTCCACCTCTCCAACTGTATCTCGTTCTCCCTCTTGATCACACCGACCTTTCGGTAGATCCAAGAAGATGCCAAGCTCCCCCAACTCCAGGGCAATTGCATTTGCTGTTCCCTCAGCGCTGAAGGAATCGGCACCCCAATCAGACCCCAATTCTGCCCCATGGCTGGCTCCTTATCCTTCAAGTCTTAGTTTGAGTCACCTTCACAGAGAGGGCCTCTTCCCTCCACCACGACCTTACCCATTCCATTACAGCATCCTATTGATTTCTTTTATTGAACTGTTTACAGTTGGCTGCCAGGACACCACAGTCTCTTGGTTTTTTTCTTTCTCCTCCAGATGCTTCATCATGGTTCCCTTTACCAGTTCCTTCTCTTCTCCCCACCTCTTAATGTCAGAGTGCCCAGGGCTCAGTCCTGGTCCCCCTCATGTCTCTATCAACAGTCCCTCCTCCGGCGACCTCACCCAGTCATACAACTTTATCTATGCGCCAAGGACTCCCAAATAGGTATATCTCTCCAGCTCAGACCTCTCCCTGGACTCAGACTCTTCTATCCAACTATCAATTTATCATCTTCATTTGGAGATCTCATACATTAAGATGTTCACAGTCAATTTCCCAATTTTCTCCCCCAAAACCTATCTTCAACCTTCTCTACCTCACTTGACATCAACTCCAATACTCCAGTTGCTCAGGACAAAACCTGTGAGTTAGGTTTAATTCCTCTGTTTCTCTCTTGCCTCACATCCCATCCATCAGCAAACCCTATCTACCTTCAAAATATATTCAGAATCTGACCACTTCTTCCCTCTCCACTACTGCCACGAAACGTCTCTGCCTGGATTACTCAACATCCTCCTCCTTGGTCTTCCTGCTGCTGTCCTCGCCCTCTCCCCTTTATCCGTTCTCAATACCTCAGCCAGAGGGACACTTCTAAAACATTAAGGCCTACACAATCTGTGTGCCTCCCTGCCCTCCCCAAATGTACTTCTCTAACTTTACCTCCTTCTACTCTCTCTTTCATTCACACACTGGACTCCATGCTGTTCCTCAAACTTTTCAGGGACACTCCTGCCCTGAGGCCTTTGGCAATTGCCATTCCAAGATTTGGAAAGCTCTTCCTCCAGCTATCTGCTTAGCCAACTCCCTCACCTCTCAGCTCCTTCAATCTTTGCCCACGTGTTGCCTTTTTGATGAGGCCTACCCTGATCAAACTACTTAAAATGGTCAAGTGTCCTCCTTCCTTGCTCTACTCATCTCTTCCCCATAGCTCTTATCATCTTTTCATAGACTACAATCAGGATACCAACCGGTCCTGGCTTACCAGAAACGTTTCTGGTTACAGCACCAAAAGTCCCACATCCCGGGAACGAACCCTCTCAGTCCTGAGCAACCAGGACATTGGCCATCTTAACTATAATTTACTATTTTTACTTTCTGTCTCTCCTCACAATACATAAAATAACTTTCACGAGGGCAGGGATCTGTGACTGCTGTGTTCATGTACACAGTGCCTGGCTCGTAACAAGCGCTCAGAACAGATTGCAATTTAAAACTTATGAATTGTTTACTTCTGGAATTTTCCATCTAATATTTTTGAACCTCAGTTGACTGTGGGTAACTGAAACTGCAGTACCAAAAATTTCCATACATGTGAGTCCTTCCTAACACCCATCAGCCAAGCCAGGATCTTCTCAACTCACTACTGTTTTCAAAAAATCCACATGACCTACACATTACAGATCTCATGTAAATGGCCTAGATCAGAAAAGAACCTTCGACACCTCTCCTCTAGCCCTATAACTCTGATGCCACGCAGTGTTTCCAGGACACGCAACTAAGACTTGCAGCACAGGAAACAGGCCCATTCTTACCTCCTGTGTAGAGAAAGGAGCCAGACAGGCCTCCAAAGTAGATGAGAGCCAAGTGCTCCAGTTTCAGAGGGGACAGATAGTAGAGGCAAGCCGCACAGACACAGCCCAAAGTGTAGAGGAAGACGCCAAACCGGACAACATCCTGGGGCTCCAAGATTCGGTCCACCAGGGTCCTGTCATCACTCTTTTTGTGGTCAATGCCCTTGGAAAAGTCATAGTAAGTGTTGACCAAATTGCCAGCCCCGTGCACAGCCAGGACAGCCACGGCACACCCCACCAACAGCCTGGGGTCCAAGACGCCCTGGGATCTGTAGGCCAGGGCACTGCCCAGGGCCACCGGGGTGAGCGAGGCACTGAAGCTCCAGGGCCGCAGAGCCAGCACGTAGGAGGCGCACTTCTGCCTCCAGGAGCGCTGGGCGGGCCTGTCCTGCTCCGGACAGTCGCTCCCCAGAGGGTCCCTGTCCCCAGCCTTGGCCGTCTCTCCCGCCTGGATGTTAATCTTCTCCCCCGGGGCCTGCGAGGCCGCCATGGAGGCCGCACGTGGCTGAAGTCAACGCTAACGGTGAGCCACCCACAAGACAGCGACCGCCCCGGGGCGAGGAGGGGCGGGGCGCGGCGGCCGGACCTGACCTTCCTGCGGTTCCGCCCGCGCAGGGCTGGCGGGGCGGCGGGCCCGGGCACAGCGGCGAGCGGCCTGGCAGCCACCGGCCCGGCGGCACAGCCTCGGCCTCCCGTCACCTGGGCGAAGCCTGTCTCTGGGCCCGACCCCAGCTAGAGCCCCAGGCCGAGCTGCAGCCGCCTACCCCCAGCTACCGGGGCCGCCATCTTGTGCGCCCGCCTCTGGAGGCCCGCCCGGAAACACGGGCCGCCGCGCGCACTGGGCCGGCCGGGGCCGGGCCGGGGCGGTGACCCCGCGGGCCACCCCTTCCCTGGCCGAAGGTCCGCGCCCGCAGCTGCTCCTAGACTTGCCGGAAACAGCTTAACTCAGCATCACAAGAACGACCACGAATGCTTATCGCTTTCCGACCTACCAAGCGCTTTCACTCACCGAAATAGGACTCATTCATTTTTTTATTCAACAAGCATTTATTGAGAGCCTACTGTATGCAACAAGCATTTATTGAGCACTCAGTATGGTACGCAGCAGTGAACAAAATGGACAAAAATCAGGGAGCGCATTGAGGGCCATGAGAAAGGTATAATTATCCCCCCCTTTTTAAATGAGAAACTTGTAATGTCTAAGAAATTATTAGTTCTGGTAATTCCCGCTTTTTATTGTGCAATTACCATATGCCATATACTGCCCTGCCTGCCCTTTTTTTTTTTTTTTCCATATTCTGGTTTATTTACTTATTCATGCAAATAACCGCCCTCCTCCCCACCCCACCAGGTGGCCAGCTCTGTGTCTCCACTGCCCACCTTCTGGGAGCTTATGGTCCATACCTGTAGCTTGTTCTGGTTGGAGAGAGCCAACTGTTACATTTTTAGGAATTTTGTGAACTGGTCATTAGGCACAGCCATTACTAAAAATTAAATTACACAAACTCACAATTAGATAAAACTATATTAAAAACAAAGGTAACAGATACTCGAACCTCATTACTTCCTAATTATTTCACTACATTTTAGCATTTATGCTCTTCAGGTCCTTTACGTCTGTTGTATCTGCATTGTGGAAATACTACATAATAATGTGCTTCTGTTCATCTCGTCCCAGCTTTTCATTCAGTGACATCCGCTGGTAGCTTGAAACCTGCCACGATGGGAGTATTTATACTGAGCAAATCAGCCAATCCTTGATAATTGTTTTGTTGATCCTCTAGACTTAAGCAAGGGACAAGGAAAAGTTAATAATGCAGGTCGAAGGTAAAAGTGTGTTAACTCTGTAGCTGTTACTTTGTGACTAGCAACAAGACTTTGAGGAAATATTCTTCCAGTATTGGAAAATTATTATCCAGTTCAGCAAAGAAGCCACTCATGTCGTTGAGAAACTAGTGAAGTTCCAACATCTCTTGATTGTCACACTTTCCTCTTTCTTACTCATTAACATAAAAGAAAAGATCAACCAACATTCATGGGAGACTACACTTATTGGTCAATTGCAGCCATAAGGAGGCTACACAATATCAAAGAAAGCATACCGTTAGAATCAACCTGCCATCTGGAATTTACAATAAAGAGTAGTGTGTATTTTATTTGTAAGTTGTGTGCTACACATCCTTTACATGTGTTATAACAACATATATAACACATAAAGTTATAATACACATATAACATACATGTACACGGATGGACTACATAATTTTCGTGCCCGATGCAAAATAAAAATGCAGAGCCCCTGGTTCAAAAATCGTTAAGAATTTCAAGACACAACATCACGACCTCATAGGTCACACAGCCATGAAAACAGCCCTGTATGTACATACATGCCCCCCTCCTCTACCAGCTAGCTGGTTGTTAAATATTTACAGCTCCACCACCCAGCACATACTTGCGACGCTGGCCAAACCTGAGAGTCCTACGCTGCCAAATCAGAGAAAAGGAAGCAGCAGGTGTATTAAAATCCTGGCTCCATCACTTACCAACTCAACAACCTAATCCCTCTGTGTGTCAGTTTACTTGTGTGTAAAGTGGGAACAATACAGCCTGCCTCACAGAAATGTTCAGGAATAACAGTAACAGCATTTATTGACTGTTCACATGTGTCATACAGTGTTTTAGTTGCTTTACATGTATTGGTGTTTAACCCCACAACACTGCCTACTGAGATAGGTACATTGTAACCCTTCTGGTTTTATAAATAAAGAAATAGTTACTTGGAAATTAAGTACTTGCTCATATAGTTAGTAAGTGTTGGAGCTGAGTTTCAGATTCAGTTAGTTTGACTCCAGTCTCCTTTTATATTGCTCTATAATGTCCACTAAAATGCCTGATACTTTGTAAGTGTTCAATAAATATTAGTTATTATTTTAACATAATGGATAAGAAAGCTCTTTGTAAACTGAAAAGAGATCTACAAGTGCACTGATTACTGTTGCTATAAAAGCATCTTTGATTAATTAGAAAGCAGGTAATAAAATAATTAAGTTCTGGTTATGTAATGTACAGCATGGTGAGTATAGTTAATAATACTGTATCGCATATTTTAAAATTGCAAAGAGAGTAGATCTTAAAAGTTCTCATCAGGGCCGGCCCCGTGGCTCAGCGGTTAAGTGCGCGTGCTCCGCTGCTGGCGGCCTGGGTTCAGATCCCGGGCGCTCACCGACGCACCGCTTCTCCGGCCATGCTGAGGCCGCGTCCCACATACAGCAACTAGAAGGATGTGCAGCTATGACATACAACAATCTGCTGGGGCTTTGGGGGGAAAAATAAATAAATAAATAAAATCTTTAAAAAAAAAAAGTTCTCATAAGAAAAAAAAATTTTTGTAACTGTGTATGATGACCAATGTTAACTAGACTTATTGTTGTGATCATTTTGCAGTATATACAAATATTGAATCATTATATTGTACACCTGAAACTAATATAATCTATGTCAATTATACCTTAATAAAAAAAAGATAAGAAAACAGGGCCTTACATCTTAAGGTGGCAGAAATCTCATATATTGCTAGTGGGAGTGAAAATTGGTACCTCCTCTATAAAGATCAATTTGACAATATCCATCAAGCATGGGTACACATGGATTTACTCTCTGAATCTGTAATTCCACTTCTGCATATTTATCTCGGTACAACTGCCAGGGAATAAAATTATATATGTCCAAAAGCATTAATAGGCAGCATAATTAGTAATAGCAAAAATTTGGAAACAACACAAGTGTCCATCAAAAGAGGACTGGAAAGGGGCCGGCCGGTAGCACAGTGGTTAAGTTCATGTGCTCTGCTTTGGCGGCCCGCGGTTTGCAGGTTTGGATCCCAGGTGTGGACCTACCCACTGCTTATCAAGGCACGCTTTGGAGGCATTCCACATATACAGTAGAGAAAGATGGGGGACGTTAGCCGAGGGCCAGTCTTCCTCAACAAAAAGAGGAGGATTGGCAATGGATGTTAGCTCAGGGCTGATCTTCCTCACAAAAAAAAAAAAAAAAAGACTGGAAAAATAAATAATGGTATATCCACGTGATAGAATACTATGCAACCAAAACAACAACAAAAGAACAAGGAAGCTTTTTATATACTAAGATGGAAAGATCTCCAAGACCCCCTAAAATTTTAAAAAGTGCAGAACAATGTATATAGTGTAACAAAAAGGGAAAATAAGAATATATATTTAGGGGCCGGCCAGTGGCATAGTGGTTAAGTTCATGTGCTCTGCTTCAGAGGCCCGGGGTTCACAGGTTCAGATCCTGGGTGTGGACCCACGTACTGCTTGTCAAGCCATGCCGTGGCAGTGTCCCATATAAAGCAGAGGAACATGGGCATGGATGTTAGCCCAGGGCTAGGCTTCCTCAGCAAAAAGAGGAGGATTGGCATCGGATGTTAACTCAGGGCTAATCTTCCTCACACACACACAAAAGAATATATATATTTATATTTGATTGTATTGCATAAAGAAACTTTAGGGATACTTAGGAAATAAGAAAATAAGTAGTGAAGAGGCAGGGGTGGAGCCTGACTTTTCATGATAAATATAATTTTTATTTATGTTAAGATCTGCACAGTGAATATATAATATTCAAAAATGTTTAATGATTAAAAATAGAGATGTTGAACACAAGTGAAAAACGTGGAATGCAGAGGAACAATTAGTTCACAGAATAAGCAATGCAATGAAAAGATTCTAAACCTAAAGCAGTAAATCATATTTAAAAAAAAATCTTTCAAGGCATTTTGTTAGCCACAGAATATTAGCAAATTTCTTTCAAATGGCAGTTTAGGACTTCTAGAAACTTACATTTCTTAAACAAACACTTCTTTTTATTACATAAGTAATTGACGGTAATGTACAAAGAAAAAAATATGCCTTCCCCAAGTCCCATTACATCTTAGTTGTATATTTTCCCTCTGTAAACACAGAACACATAAAAATTATGTTTTTTAAAAGGGTTATATTTAACATACTGTTTTATAACATATTTTTTTTAACTTTGAACCATTTTCCTTCTTAGCAAATATTGATCTGCGTTATCATTATTAGTGGCTACACGTTTTCCTTAATATGAATGCATATTTTATCAGACTCCAATTGTGAGATATTTAGGAATTTTCAATGTTTATTATAATAAACAGAATGTATTTAAAAACTAAGATGTCAAATTCCATTTTTAAAACTGATTTTTTGAAGGGATGTTTTAACAACCATGCTGCTTGAAAATTATTTACCAGTGGCTCATTTATTCAAACTTGGCTATGGTTTCTCGCGAATGATCTTGTGAGCTAGATAATTTTGGAAAAGTGGGAAAATCTAATTAAAAGCGCTTTCAAATGCATATTACACTTAACAAAAGAGAAATCACGGGTACATAAGTTGCGCTAGCCCGAAAACTTTAGGTCTTTTGCTCCAGCAACTACCGGGCACCGGCTTCGTTCACACTCTGGTCTCAGAATTAAACCGGGCGGGGTCACGCACCTTCGCCCACCCCTCGCGGTCCCATCTCACCGCACCACACAGCGGACTCCGCGCAGCTACAGCCCCAGTGCCGAGGGGAATTATAGTAGCGACGCACCGGATGTGTGCGTGGAAGCCCCCGAAGTCAACTCACGACCGATTGGTCCTCCCGAGCGAACCTAAACCTCCTTTCTCCTGCCACTGGTCGCGTGGTTTGTCTATTTGAACAGTCCCCGCCCCCTGGGGAAGCCGGGTCCCGAAGCCCCACTGCTCCTTCATTACT